AGTGAAAAGTGGACATGTCCAGGGAAAACAGGACGTACGGTCACCCTAGTCCTCATAAAGCGGGAGATTACAGATACAGTATTTTGCTCGTGCTCTTGCTGCCCTGGGCCCTTATGAGTTCGTGGGCAACTGGGCAATTGCCCAGACGGCGGGTAAATCCACAACATAAGTTCACTGCCAGAGTCCGTAGCGGCAGATATCGGCGTGGTCTCGGCATCCACTATGCCCAGCCCTCGATGCCTAAAGAAGGCGACAAGCCTTCCCTCCTAGCACTGGAACGCTGCATGCCTGTTTAACTGTCTTCGTCGCCGGCAGCCCTACCCGACTGCGAACGACCCCACCCCCCAAAGTCCGATGCCACAATAACAGGTCGACCACGCACACCTCTCAGTAGGCCTGTCACCCTTTTATCCTCCCTGGCCTCGTTATCCATAGCGAGGACCAGCTGGTGTCCAATCACCACACCCTCGGAGCTCGGCAGCTTCCGTCTTCTGCCCATCACACTCTCCCCCTCTTTGTCCTGAAGGACTCGCCCTCGAGTCCTAGATCTCCACATGATAATCCTTATGCCAAACAGGGGGTCTCCTCTGACGAACCACGCGTTGCTCCACAGCTCCAGGTCCCTCGACCTTCTCAGGGATACGTCCACCCGATCCTCTTCCAACCGCACCCCCTCGAGCAGCCTCTCCATGCAATGGGGCAGGGTTGCTTGAATCACCGGAGCCCTTAGTCTCCGAAAACCGTTGAGCACTCCTGCTGATGTCCTCCCAGGTGGCATCTGGCTGATGAACCACCCGCTGTTCCGCAGCTCCACGTCCGTCGATCTCCCCAGGGAGACGTCCTTCCGGCCTTCCTGCAGTAGCACCTCCTCGAGCAGCCTCTCCACGTGATGGGGCCGGGTCACTTGTGTCGCCAGACCTGCTCGTCTCTGCAGACCGTCGATGAACCCTGCTGGTGTCCTCCCAGGCGGCAACCTGCTGACGCAGACTCTGCCTCGCTCTCTCTCTGGACCCCACATCCATCGGTGCTGCAACTATTGGAAGAGAAGTGCACGGCTTAAGTCGGTTGAAATGAATCACACTCTCAGGACCCCCCTCAATGGGTACTAGCCTGTATAACACATCTGTCACCCGCTCGAGAACCTTAAACGGTCCTCTATCTCGCCTCTGAAGCCTGAGACACACCCCTCGCCTCCTCAGCTTATTTCTGACCCACACTAAGTCACCTTCTGCGTAGAACCGGCGGGAGGCCCTAAAATCATGTGCCCTCTTTTGTTGCCCCGATGCTCTGCCCTGATGGCACTTCACCGCATCCACCATAGTAGTGAATGTTTCCTTCAGCCTCGTCACATACTTGTCTACCGAGGCAAAGGCTTCAACTATCCTGGCCTTCAAGTACCCAGCATTTCCTCTTCTTACAGGGGTCTCAATAACGGAGAAGGGGGCGGGCATTTGACCCACGGTACACGCCCCCTCTAGTTTCCCTGAACATAAGGGCAGTCCCGACGTATATGCCGGTTACAACCACACTCCCAGCAGCCTCCCAACCTCTCATTTCCTTCCTTCCGCGAATATTCTTGCCTAGGCTGTAAGGTTGTGTTCTGAGCGTCACGACGGTGGGGACTAGATGCAGCAGGTACTGACAGTGTGTGCACCACTTCCTGGAGGGATTTCACCTCCTGTCTCAAGCTCTCAACCACCCCCATTAGCGAAGCAATGCTTTTATCATCAGCATCTTTCACAGTTATCCCCCTCACTCTTGCGTCCGATACTGAGCTGGTCTTCAAGCTCCTAATGAGCTCAAGCTCTGCCGCCAGGTCGATGGCTGCTTCAAGCGACACGGGCTTGGCACTCCCTAAACACACTCTCATGTTTCCATTCCCCACATGAGCTATAAACTGATCTTTAGCCAACAGGTCTCGTGTATTGGGATCCACTGTCGGATAAGCTTTAACGACAGCCCGTCGTAATGCCATCCCAAAGTCACGGACACTTTCATTATGCCACCTGCGTCGAGCGGAGAAAACAGCTCTATTCCAATCAGCGCTGTCACACGGATCCAAACAATTCCCCATTTGCTCTTTTAACACGGCATAATTAGCTTTAACGCTCCCCGACAAGCCATTATAAACCTCTCGAACCTTGTCAGTCAACAGAAGACACAGAAACTTCAGTTTAAGGGGCTCATCCCAGTTATTTACATCGGCTGCCATTTCAAATTGTTCAGCCCAGTCTGCCCATTCACGGCCAACACCGGAAAAGCTCTTCGGCATAAAAATCGGCCGAGCCGCTGCGCTCACGGGCTGATTTTCGGCTGGTCTCAACGGAGGAGGTGTGTTATTTTCAGGTTCTGACATTCTGGATTGCTAAACCCCACTCCTGGTACCAGTGTAATGAAAGTTGTTGTGGGCAGCACGGGCAGAATATCTTGCCCTCCAGACAGAACCTGAAGACACCACCAGTAGGCAACGACTTATAAAAGACACACTTTATTGCACAATCAATAATAAAACACCATAATAGAACCCAGTAATAAAACACTATGGCCCAAGCCCTCTCTCCTAAAACCAACTGTCCAGCATGAGTCACACAAGCAGCAGTACTTAGCTGTCTCAGATGTGGTGTAACGTGAGGAAATATGGGTTTTCTGTCACAATGGTGGTGTTGGACGCAGCTGGGTCATAGCTGGGTCGCTGAGAACTTTCACCCACAGATTAAGACCTGAACGCCAGCGAGTCTGGGAGGAAACCATAACATCAACCACCTGCAGTCTACCAGAAGATGTGTTTACATGAGTTGTACCCAGACCAAGTCAAAACATAAAGTTTAAACTTCTTTTTCTTGATTTTAATGTTAAAATAACCATTATCATTTTGCTCATTATAAATGTGTTTAATCAAATGAATGACTATTATGCTTTGGGGTAATTATAATGGATTAATGAATCCACACTTAAGTAGATAATGTTGAATGTGTGGTACTGACCTTCACACTCAAGCACACAAACATTCACACACACCCACACACATCTGCCCACAGTAAACTCCAGACACATTTGATGACGCACATGTTTTGCTTTGAGAAGAGAGGTTTTTGGTAAGTTTTCAGTTTTATGATTGAGTTCGTGTTGGACAACGAGAGAGAACAGACCTGAAAACCAAAGGGGGGGCAGAGCCTGTTGGCTCGTTCTTCCCCCCTTTCACGCTGTTTCTGCCAAGCCAGGCAGAATAGCTGAATCGCGACTTCTAACGAAGACTCATTACCGAGTCTTTTGATTTCTGAGTGAATTAACTTAAGAAAGCGCATCGATAAAACGCTCTACCATCCACGTGTACCGAGGGCAACTCTGGACCGGTTCCGTTCGACACCTACGTCTCCTGTCAGCCGCCGGTGTCATCTGGATGAACCACAACATCCTCCACGGCCCGGATCCGAAAGAGGGTCCACAAGAGTTCGGTGAGACAGAGCACGGTTTTAGCGTTTGATGCAGTTCTCTGATAAGACCTAAGTTTATCCAAACCATCACTTCACTCAGACACCTGTTTCTTCCTGAAGCAAAATCAGACTCACACACGCATTCATGTCACAACATTCTCAATCTTCATAAATTCACCAGAAGGTCTATTTGAGCAAGAACAGCATATAAACTGTTAAAAGATTGTCCCACAAAGTTGCCAATGTGATTGTTATTTCCTGTTTGTCAATTTTCAAAATCATTAGTTTAACTTGAAGAATTAAAACTTTTAATCCTTCAAACTTGTTTCCTCATTGAACTGAAACACAGACACTCAGATATTATCGGCAGTTTATGGATGAAAACAACCTTTTATTCTTCTGAACAATATAAAATTTGGTTATTGATTTATTAAAATTAATATTCCGAATTAATACGTAGCATGGTTTCTCTTTCATAAAAGAGCATAAATCCATAACGCTACAGTGGTGACCCCCCTCCCCGGGGTCTGAGCTTCCAACGCCGTCCATCGCCCCAGGGTGCAGCTTGCGAGGACGGCGGGTAAATCCACAACATAAGTTCACTGCCAGAGTCCGTAGCGGCAGATATCGGCGTGGTCTCGGCATCCACTATGCCCAGCCCTCGCTGCCTAAAGAAGGCGACAAGCCTTCCCTCCTAGCACTGGAACGCTGCATGCCTGTTTAACTGTCTTCGTCGCTGGCAGCCCTACCCGACTGCGAACGACCCCACCCCCCAAAGTCCGATGCCACAATGACAGGTCGACCACGCACACCTCTCAGTAGGCCTGTCACCCTTTTATCCTCCCTGGCCTCGTTATCCATAACGAGGACCAGCTGGTGTCCAATCACCACACCCTCGGAGCTCGGCAGCTTCCTCAATAATTCCCTGTCTCCCTCCTTGAAGGCTCTTTTTTATCATTTAGCAGATTCTTCAGTTCACTGGTGATCCAGGGTTTGCTATTAGCGAAGCATCTCACTGTTCTGGTGGGTATTATATTGTCCACACAGAAGTTTATATAGTCAGTGACACATCCAGTCATGGCATTGATGTCCTCTTCATATCCTTGGCAGAGAGTCATCCAATCTGTGGTCTCAAAACAACTCTGCAGGGCTTCCTCAGCATCCTGTGACCATTTTCTCACAGTTCTTCTTGTCACGGGTTGCCCCTGATCAAGTGGTTTGAATTCTGAGCAGAGAAAAACAAGACTGGTATCTGATTGTCCCAGAGGAGGTCTTGTTTTGGACATGTATGCATTCTTTACATTTGCGTAACACAAATCCAATGTCTTGTTTTCTCTGGTGGAGCAGCTGACAAACTGTTGAAATGTTGGAAGTGTAGCAGAGCGAGGCATGATTAAAATCACCAGATATAGCCACAAATGCATTGGGGTGCTGGGGTTGTAGCTTAGCGACAATGGAACTGATGGCATCACATGCATTTTCAGCAATGGCTGAAGGTGGAATATAACTGGTTGCCAAGACAACACTGGTGAACTCTCTTGGCAAATAATATGGGTGACAACTTACTGCCAAGAGTTCAACATCTGGGCTGCAGAGACGACATTTCACTGAAACATGACCTGGATGGCACCATCTGTTGTTGACAAGCACTGCCACTCCACCTCCTTTTCTTTTCCCGCTCCTCCCCAGATGTCTGTCTGCTCGTACAGTCAGGAATCCTGGCAGAGAGACACTGGAATCAGGGATATGGCCCTGCAACCACGTCTCAATGAAACACATAACACTACACTGCCGATACTCTGGCTGAGTCCTTGAAAGGGCTTGGAGTTCATCCATCTTGTTGGCCAGTGATCTCACATTGCCCATTATGATCGATGGAAGAGATGGTTTGAATTTCCTCTTTCTCTGTCTCTGTTGTGCTCCTGCTCTGCACCCACACTTCATGCGTTTTAGCTCATTGCTCATGCATCTGACCTGTTCTATTCTCTGAAATGAGATCAAATTAGTGCTTCTATGGGTTGCCTCCTCTCTGCACTAGAAAATTTTACTTTATTTAGAGACGTGTCAATTTCTCCCCAAGCCAACCCCCCCCCCCCCCCCCCCCCCCCAACGCCACAGCTGTAAATATTCCTAGGGGAAACACTGTATATATATATATATATATATATATATATATATATATATATATATATATATGCCCAGGAAGCAACAGTTGACCACCGCCCCCGGGGCAGAGGGCCCCTGCAGAGAAAACACTGGATTAAAAAGAGTAAAAATATAAAAATAAAAGAGCTAATATAAATGACAAAAGAAAGAAAATAATGAATAAAATCATATGAACAGTAAAGCGATAATATTATCAAATAATGAAACAATGCTGAAATATAATCATATAAAACATGCTAAGCCAGTAATAAAATGTAATCATATAAAACGAGAAATACAACTATAGTAAATAATTAGATAAAAGCTAACGTAAATAGGTGGGTCTTGAGCCTGGACTTAAAAACATGAACGTTCTCTGCGGCCCTGAGGTCCTGCGGTAAATCGCTCCAGAGGTGAGGGCCGTAATACTGGAAGTACGCCTCGCTTGTCAGGTTTAGATGTTAACAACCATCGTGTTTTTTCAGAACCCCTGTCATTAAACAGAGGACGAGTCTGGCAGGCCAGGCTACCGTAAGTCATTCATTCCCGCTGCAGTAAGAGTATAACTCCTCAGTTTAAGCTGCAGTGGCATTAGCCTGATACACAATAACAGCAATGTAATACTCAGTTTGTGTTCAATACTCGTGCAATACCGGATTTACACAGTATGTCCTTGTCTTTTGCAGTATGCTACATAGTGTTGGAAACCAAGTCTTTTCTTCATTCATGGTTTTTAATGGTCGAAGGCTACAATTCTAGACTACTGCCTATGTGTGTACATATGTATCTGTGTTCTTATTTTTCTTCTAATTATTCTCTTTTGTTGCTGCTGTAGGAAGCGAATGTCCCCACTGTGGGATCAATAAAGTCTACTCTAATCTATTCTAATCTATTCTATACTAAAACTTCATCTCTTCTTCACAATAGGGAGGGTTTCCCTCTAATTCAGACTCACTGTCAGAAATTGACAATAATTCAGAGAGATTATCTTGTGAACCAAACCAAAATTCCTCATCTTCTTCAGAAGTTCTTTCTAAAATCTTCCAGTGAAGGAATCCAAGAATCAAGGTATCTTTCATTTGAAAATAATGAAAATTAATCTTTTTCTAGAGTGAATCCCATGTGATCATCACTTCCCACTGCATCAGACCCTTCTTCAAATTCATTCTCTGTCGAGTTTCTGACTGAATTCACAAACCTTTGTCCAGAGATGTCTAAGTCTGTTTCACTGTCTGTGCTATACGACGAAACCTCTGAACTAACGGTCTCTCAAAAAGCCTAAAACTCTTCATTGGATTGTTTCAGATTGTAAAAACATCAAAACGTTAATCTATTAACAAGCGGCAAAGACTTTAGCATAGTTTTCCACCAGCTTATTTCCCAAACTGTTGCTATTCCAGGTTTAGTCTTTTCTACATTAACCATTGTAGTTAACGTGTTTTTGGTGTCATTTTCATCTGAAAAGACTAGCAAATCTTTGTATTCGGAGTCAAACAATACGTTTTCTTCAGAGACACATATTTCATCTTCACTCTTCCCAGATTTCTTTCTCGATGCCTCTAATTCAGAATCACTGTCAAAAATGGACAATTCAGAGAGATTATCTTGATAATCAAACCAAAATTCCTTCTCTTCTTCACAATAGGGAGAGCTTTCCTCTAATTCAGAGTCACCGTCAGAAATTGACAATTCAGAGAGATTATCTTGAGAACCAAACCAAAATTCCTTCTCTTCTTCACAATAGGGAGAGCTTTCCTCTAATTCAGAGTCACCGTCAGAAATTGACAATTCAGAGAGATTATCTTGAGAACCAAACCAAAATTCCTTCTCTTCTTCACAATAGGGAGAGCTTTCCTCTAATCCAGATTCACCATCAAAAATTGACAATTCAGAGAGATTATCTTGAGAACCAAACCAAAATTCCTCATCTTCTTCAGAAGATAGCCACATTTTAGGTTCATTCTTTCGAAAATCTTCCAGTGAAGGCATCCAAGATTCAAGATCACTATAATTTGAAAAAGATGAAAATGAATCTTTTTCTAGAGTGAATCCCATCTCATCATCACTTCCCACTGCATCAGACCCTTCTTCAAATTCATTCTCTGTCGAGTTTCTGACTGAATTCACAAACATTTGTCCAGATTTGTCTAAGTCCGTTTCACTGTCTGTGCTATACCCACACGATGAAACCTCTGAACTAACGGTCTCTAAAAGACCTTGTGTACTTTCCAGATTCATATATGAATGAATCATTTCCTCATCTGTGTTTTGATGTAATTCAGTTTCATTGTGTTGGTCTTCTGCAGTTTTCAGAACTTCAGATCTTCCACAATTTGTTTCCTCTTGTGAGCCTGGTTGATCAAAAATGGCCAAATCTTGATTAAATTCGGAGTTTTTCGTCTGTTTGGTTAAATATCCAACGGTTTTTCTAACAGCTTTGGTAACTAAAGTCCCAAAAACGAGACCGGCCACCACCACGGACGTCTGTCGTAACATGCTTCTGAACTCTGAGAGGTCTGAGCTGGAACTGGCTTTATGAGGTGGCTGATCACGTGATCTAATAAAAGACAAGCTGGCAGGACGCAGACGCTTCTGCCTGCGCGTCTCCAAATTTCGACCGGAAGTGCACCAATACACAGTCCATATATGGTATGTTTCTACAGACGTTAAAATTACTGTGTAAATCACTACAAATGTCTCAAAAAGCTACAACAAATGCTCAAAATTGAAGCGTTTACCTTGTAGCTTTAGCCTTGTGAAGAAACTTCCTGGTTGTGACTGTTCTTTTGTGGTTTGTGCGAGGCGAGGATGTCCGAACAGCGACCCCTACTGTTCAAATATAGAACTGAGCGAGGTGTCGCTAATGTGCATGTTTACTTCATCACTTTCCCCTAAAACAAATATCGGAGTGAACAAACAACGCGTTTGTAACAATACAGATGACATATGGGATTTATTAACCTAGTAAATAATCATTTTCATTACATCCTTTCTGCTGCTTTTTGTGATTTGCACATTTTTCTGTTGTCATTGTACTTGCTCAGGTTCAATATTACACTTCTAGTTTGCAGTTTCCTTTACTTCTAAGTACGCTGCCATCTTTTAAATCCACACAGTATTTTTATATTGTCATTTTGTATTCCTTAAAATAAGCAGAATTTTAGCATTTATGATCATTTTATTCCGTTTTATGTTTTGTTGTTTACTCTTAACTTCTAATTTTTACTCCACTTTTTTATCTTATGTGGGAGGACAGAAGGTCAACTTGCATCTTATACGTTTTTCCCTTGGATATCTGAAATCTGGGGTTTCAGGGGCGGCCCTGCCCAAAACCATCATTGATGCTGAAAGTCAGTGGCTGCCATGACAGCGATTAGCAGCAATTTGCTGCCTTTGAAGGTTTTTAAATGAGCATTTGGAAGTAAAAATGGCTGCCATTAGCTCCTGCCTGTTGGTTGATTGAGTGGTGGCTGCCAGGAGAGAGAAAAACCTCTCAGTTACAAACAATCACAGTATCATAAAAATGTTTTATGACTGAAAGCTTCATGAGCTCTCTCCGAGCTTCTTTTGACTTCAAAGCTTTGAAACTCGTTTACTCTAAAATCTCTAATCTCACTTTGAAGATTCCTGTTTTCATCAGATTTAGCTGTAATTGCATTCAGATTCTTGTTATGAATAAAATGTTGTTCTCATGAAAGAAGGTTTTGAGATCTCCGTTTAAAGAACCAGAAGACGACTCATCAAACCTCTTCTGTTGCATCAGGATTAGTACCGTCATCGGAAACCTCCTCTACAAACACATCGGATGACGTGACACCACGCTCCCCTCGTTTTGACCTTGATTTTATCCGTTTTGCTGCAAACTCAGATATCAAAGCCCAGAGTTTGGAACATAAGTTTGACTTTGAAGTCGCAGGGTTGCGTTAAATTCAGGGATGGACTGAAACTCTCAAAAAGCCGAATGGCTTCGTTATAAAAAAGGAACTTAAGGGTGAAAAAAAAGCAGTTCAGGAACATCCTGGGAATTATTTAGCTGGAAACCCATAGCGATGTGTTTGTTAGCAGGACTCGTCGCAGCAGGAAGGTGAGACAGACATAGTTTCCGTGGGTAGGTTGTTGTGTTTGTGGGGACATGGTGGACGTTTCTGAGCTGGTTATGAAACTTGTGCGTTTGCACAGATGCAAACAGCCTCCTGCAGGTTTGTGACTCCAGGAGGCCAGCTGTCGCTTCAGCTTTGATTCTCTGGGGACAAAAGATGAGTTCAGTAGAAAGAATGGCACTGAAGTGACAGAACATGCACAGAAGGACGCTGCTCAGTCAAATCACACGGCTTATGTAACATGTCCAGTTTATTGAAACTTGTCCCAACTTTTTATTCGAGATGCAAAAAAAATAAAAAACAGTCAATACTTTTTCACTTGAACAAAGACCAGTTTCAGAAGCTTTAGAGCTGTGAGCCATCGCAGTCCTCTGATATCCACCCTGAACGTTTTAGAGCGGGTGTCGAGGCCGAGGCTGCAGTCCTGCTCGGTTATCATGGGAACGTGGAAGTGCACTTTAGTCCATTTACAT